TTTCGTAATTGTAATTCCTGATGTCGTAATTTTTCAGTTCGTATTCTGATGATAAAATACACACGATATATTTTATGTACGACTGGACTCATTGGAGAGTTTACAAATATTTATTTTATGCGCAACTACAGACAAATCTGCACCGATTTCTGTTCTATGTGCACGAATATTTTTGAAAACTTCTTACTCCACATGAACTGAACTGAGTCGGTGTCGTCACATTTTCTTTGTGTCGAGAGAAACAGACGAGTGAAAACCGACGCACAAACGTCTGGAACTGAACAGTTTATTATGATTATTATGATTATTATGATTAATCTTGATGTTTGTGTTGTGATAAACTCTGGTGTGTGTGTTGTGTGTGTTGTGTGTCTGTGTTTGTGTGTGTTTGTGTTGTGTTTCAGACTCTGAACATGTCTCTGTGAGGACGTTATAGACTTTCTTTCTTTCTCGAGGACTTTCTTCTCGTTGGATCTATACGTTTCACTTTAGCTGCTGGATCGATGGAGACGATTGACCAGTGTCCGGTGAAGTCGGCGCCGCCTCCCGCCGCTCGATCGAAGGCTCCTCCCGCCTCTCGTCCTTCGCTCCTCCGCCTCGTCCCTCGCTCCTTCGCTCCGTCGCGTCCGAACGGAACAAAGGGTCTCGGCCCCCGCCGCGCCGCTAATGAGCGCCCGCCGAGACGCACAAAGCCGCCATGTTGGAGGCTGCGGGCGGAGGGCCGCGATTGGTCGGCGCCGGCGCGATCGGGTCGATGCGTCGGCTCGTCTCCGATCGCTCTCGCAGAGTTGATACATTCATAACACCGACAGAGTGTCAGGCTTTTGTGTCCCAACAAACGCCTTTAAATCACACACACACACAAGTTTACACACACACAAGAGTATACACACACACACACACACACACGAGTATACACACACACACACACACAAGAGTATACACACACACACACACACACACACAAGTTACACACACACACACACACACACACAAGTTTAAAACACACACACACAAGAGTATACACACACACACACACAGAGTATACACACACACACACACACACAAGAGTATACACACACACACACAAGAGTATACACACACACACACACACACACAAGTACACACACACACACACACACACACAAGTTTACACACACACACACAAGTTTAAAACACACACACACAAGAGTATACACACACACACGAGTATACACACACACACACAAGTTTACACACACACACACACACACAAGAGTATACACACACACACACACACAAGAGTATACACACACACACACACAAGAGTATACACACACACACACACACACAAGAGTATACACACACACACACACACACAAGAGTATACACACACACACACACAAGAGTATACACACACACACACACACACAAGAGTATACACACACACACACACACAAGAGTTTACACACACACACACACACACAAGAGTATACACACACACACACAAGAGTATACACACACACACAAGAGTATACACACACACACACACACACACACAAGAGTATACACACACACAACACACAAGAGTATACACACACACACACACAAGAGTATACACACACACACACAAGTTTAAAACACACACACACAAGAGTATACACACACACACACACAAGTTTAAAACACACACAAGAGTACACACACACACACAAGAGTATATACACACACACACACGTTTAAAACACACACAAGAGTATACACACACACACACACACACACACACACACAAAGTATACACACACACACACACAAGTTTAAAACACACACAAGAGTATACACACACACACACACACACAAGAGTATACACACACACACAAAGTATACACACACACAAGAGTATACACACACACACACACACAAGAGTATACACACACACACACAAGAGTATACACACACACACACACAAGTTTAAAACACACACAAGAGTACACACACACACACACACACACAAGAGTATACACACACACACACACACACACACACAAGAGTATACACACACACACACACGTTTAAAACACACACAAGAGTATACACACACACACACACGTTTAAAACACACAACAAGAGTATACACACACACACACAACTTTACACACACACACAAGAGTATACACACACACACAAGTTTAGACACACATACACAAGTTTAAAACACACACACACACAAGAGTATACACACACACAAGAGTATACACACACACAAGAGTATACACACACACACACAAGTTTACACACACACACACAAGTTTAAAACACACACACACACAAGAGTATACACACACACACACACACACATGTTTAAAACACACACACACACAAGAGTATACACACACACACAAGTTTACACACACACACACAAGTTTACACACACACACACACACACATGTTTAAAACACACACACACACAAGAGTATACACACACACACAAGTTTACACACACACACACAAGTTTACACACACACACACACAAGTTTACACACACACACACAAGTTTACACACACACACACAAGTTTAAAACACACACACACAAGAGTATACACACACACACACAACTTTACACACACACAAGTTTAAAACACACACACACAAGTTTAAAACACACAACACACACAACAGTATACACACACACACACACACAACTTTACACACACACACACAAGAGTATACACACACACACACAACTTTACACACACACACAAGTTTAAAACACACACACACAAGAGTATACACACACACAACTTTACACACACACACACACAAGTTTAAAACAGACACACACACACACACAACTTTACACACACACACACACACACACACAAGTTTAAAACACACACACACAAGTTACACACACACACAACACACACACACACAAGAGTATACACACACACACAACTTTACACACACACACAAGAGTATACACACACACACAAGAGTATACACACACACACACAACTTTACACACACACACAAGAGTATACACACACACACACAAGAGTATACACACACACACACAACTTTACACACACACACAAGAGTATACACACACACACACAAGAGTATACACACACACACACACAACTTTACACACACACACAAGAGTATACACACACACACACAAATTTATACACACACACACACAAGAGTATACACACACACACACAACTTTACACACACACACATTGACACACACACAACTTTACACACACACACACACAAGTTTAAAACACACACACAACAACAACACAACAGACTCGATACTCGATACTCAACAAAAGACTCGATACTCAACAACAGACTCGATATTCGATACTCAACAACAGACTCGATATTCAACAACAGACTCGATACTCGATACTCAACAACAGACTCGATACTCAACAAAAGACTCGATATTCAACAACAGACTCGATACTCGATACTCAACAAAAGACTCGATATTCAACAACAGACTCGATACTCGATATTCAACAACAGACTCGATACTCGATACTCAACAAAAGACTCGATACTCAACAACAGATTCGATACTCGATACTCAACAACAGACTCGATACTCAACAACAGACTCGATACTCGATACTCAACAACTGACTCGATACTCAACAAAAGACTCGATACTCGATATTCAACAACAGACTCGATACTCGATACTCAACAACTGACTCGATACTCAACAACAGACTCGATACTCGATACTCAACAACAGACTCGATACTCAACAACAGACTCGATACTCAACAAAAGACTCGATACTCGATACTCAACAACTGACTCGATACTCAACAAAAGACTCGATACTCGATATTCAACAACAGACTCGATACTCGATACTCAACAAAAGACTCGATACTCAACAACAGACTCGATACTCGATACTCAACAACAGACTCGATACTCAACAACAGACTCGATACTCAACAACAGACTCGATACTCGATATTCCACAACAGACTCGATACTCGATACCGATTTTGATTCCATAACGAAAATAAAACCCTCTTTGTTTAGACAATCTCCTGTGATTTTCCACATTAAATGATAGAACCTAAACCAGGACTAAACCAGAACTAAACCAGGACTAAACCAGGACTAAGCCAGGACTAAACCAGGACTAAACCAGAACTAAGCCAGGACTAAACCAGGACTAAACCAGAACTAAACCAGAACTTAACCAGGTCTAAACCAGGTCTAAACCAGGACTAAATCAGGACTAAACCAGAACTAATCCAGGACTAAACCAGGAACTAAACCAGGACTAAACCAGGACTAAACCAGGACTAAACCAGGACTAAACCAGGACTAAACCAGGTCTAAACCAGGACTAAACCAGGACTAAACCAGGTCTGTGGGTGTATTCTCGTCTCTGTACTTTCATACCTCACATCATTCAAAAGCCCAGTCACAGGTCAGGTCTGTGGAGAGGTGAACCCTGCTCAGTGTTTAATGACACACTCTGGAACATTTCAGGAAAAAGCAGTAACATTTCTGAGACGACAGTTTTGGTTCGGTCACTTTATTCGTACCCGTCGGTAAATTAGTTTTGCAGTTTTTTGAGATCCTGGTCCCACACGTCACATTTCACTCATCCACATTATGAACAATAAACACAATAAATAAATTACAAATAAATTAAATAAATATTAAATAAATAAAAAACAGTATTTCCAAGACAAAGCACTAAAAGCGATAAATAAATAGATTACAATTTATTCATAAGTACGACAGAAGCTGGAACGAAGCTCATTTTAAAATGATTTGTTCGAGAAAACTCCACAGTAAAGTCCCACAGTGCAGCTTTAACTCCACTGAGACTGACTGCGTTTATATTTAAATATTATATAAATATTTCCTATAGTTTCAAATATTCAGGTGTAGATATTACTTAATAATTATAATATCCATAAAAAAAAAAATAAAAAAAAATAAATTCTGTTTTTATTTCACCGGTGCCGTACTGCGCATGCGCTGCTCCGGTGACAGCGGCGGCAGATGCGCGAGACTCTTCACTTTAAATCAACCTTTTTCCGTCTTAAATCTTCACGTAAACAACATTTAAATGATTAAAATGTCTCTTGAGCGCACAGGCACCGCTCACACTCACCACACACTCTTTTTATCTCACATTTGTGCTTAAAATTCCTGAAAAGCGCAAAGACGAACCAGGAAGTGTCCGCGCTTCCGTGTCTCGCTGTGTTGTTTTTTTTGTGTTTGTTTTTATGGAATGAGATTGTTGGAAAACCTCCCTGGCGCGTGGCCCTGGATCCTCACAGTCCTGGTGCTCCTCACAGCTGCGGGGTTCCTGTTTCTGGACGATCCGGAGCCGCAGAAACACGTCAGGTCAGTGAGACAAAAACTTTAATAGAGACAGAAAAGGACAGAAGAGAGACAGAAGAGACAGAGACAGAGACAGGGACAGGGACAGGAGCAGGGACAGGACAGGGACAGGGACAGGGACAGACAGACAGACAGACAGAGACAGAGAGGACAGAGACACAGGGACAGGGACAGAGGGACAGGAGCAGGGACAGGGACAGGAGCAGGGACAGGGAGACAGGAGCAGGGACAGGACAGGAGCAGGGACAGGAGACAGACAGGACAGGGACAGGGAGCAGGGACAGGGACAGGGACAGGACAGGGACAGGGAGGACAGGGACAGGGACAGGGAGGACAGGGACAGGAGCAGGACAGGGAGACAGGGACAGGAGCAGGGACAGGAGCAGGGACAGGAGACAGAGAGGGACAGGGACAGGGACAGGGACAGACAGGGACAGGGACAGGACAGGACAGGGACAGAGACAGAGACAGAGACAGACAGACAGAGACAGGACAGGAGCAGGGACAGGAGGGACAGGGACAGGACAGACAGAGACAGGAGCAGGGACAGAGGACAGAGGACAGGGACAGGGACAGGAGACAGGGACAGCAGGACAGGAGCAGACAGGAGAGGACAGGGACAGGGACAGGCAGACAGGGACAGGACAGACAGGAGACAGGGACAGGGACAGGGACAGGACAGGGACAGGAGACAGGGACAGGGACAGGACAGGAGCAGGGACAGGACAGGGACAGGGAGACAGGGGACAGGGACAGGACAGACAGGAGCAGGGACAGGGACAGGGACAGACAGGACAGAGAGCAGACAGGACAGGGACAGACAGGACAGGGACAGGGACAGGACAGGGACAGGGACAGGACAGACAGGGACAGAGACAGGACAGGACAGGGGACAGGGGACAGGGCAGGGACAGGGGACAGGGACAGGGACAGGGACAGGGACAGACAGGGACAGGGACAGGGACAGACAGGACAGACAGGACAGGGACAGGGACAGGGACAGGAGGGACAGGGACAGGGACAGGGACAGGGACAGGGAGCAGGGACAGGGACAGGGACAGACAGGACAGGGACAGCAGACAGGACAGGACAGGAGCAGGACAGGGACAGGGACAGGGACAGGGACAGGGACAGGGACAGGAGCAGGGACAGAGACAGGGACAGGGACAGGAGCAGGGACAGAGACAGGAGCAGGGACAGAGACAGGGACAGGGACAGGGACAGGGAGCAGGGACAGGGACAGGACAGGGACAGGGACAGTAAATGTTCTTTTTACTTGAGTTTATTTTATTTGAACTGCAGGTTTGTGTTTCTGTTCATGTTTGAGTTTAAAAAAAATAAAAGATTCAAGATGAAATGACATAAACCAGGACTAAAACTGGACTAAACCTGGACTAAAACTGGACTAAAACCTGGACTAAAACTGGACTAAACCTGGACTAAAACTGGACTAAACCAGGACTAAAACTGGACTAAACCTGGACTAAAACTGGACTAAACCAGGACTAAAACTGGACTAAACCTGGACTAAAACTGGGACTAAACCAGGACTAAAACTGGACCAAATCTGGACTAAACCAGGTCTTAACCAGGACTAAATTGGGTCCAAACCAGGACTAAACCAAAACTAAACCAGGACTAAACCAGGACTAAACCAGGACTAAACCGGGTCTAAACCAGGACTGAACCAGTACTACACCAGGATTAAACCAGGTCTAAAACTGGACTAAACCCAAGACTAAAACTGGGACTAAACCAGGACTAAAACTGGACCAAAATTGGACTAAACCGGGTCTAAACCAGGACTAAACCAGGACTACACCAGGATTAAACCAGGTCTAAACCAGGTCTAAACCAGGATCTAAACCAGATCTAAACCAGGTCTAAACCAGGTCTAAACCAGGACTAAACCAGAACTAAACCAGGACTAAACCAGGACTCAGGACTAAACCAGGACTAAAACCAGGACTAAACCAGGACTGGACTAAACCTAGACTAAACCTAGACTAAACCAGGTCTAAACCAGGACTGAATCAGGACTAAACCAAGACTAAACCAGGACTAAACCGGGACTAAAATGGGACTAAACCGGGATTTAACCAGGACTAGACCAGGTCTAAACCAGGACTAAACCAGAGGATGAGTTTAAAGTTCAGATTTCAGTTTCGGGTCTGAATTCTTCTGAAACGTTTTAAAATATTTCACTAAATCTCGTGTAAATTAAATAAATGTTTTTTTGTTTTTTTTTGTAAATTCCACAAAATCTTCTGCGACTCTGTTTGTCCGAACCATGACTCAGCACTTTGTGAAACCCGAGTGACTCACGAACACCTGAGGGGGCGGGGCTACGGGCACCTGAGGGGGCGGGGCTACGGGCACCTGAGGGGGCGGGGCTACATGCACCTTCACCTGGATTTATGGACTTATGACCCTGAGCTGCAGAAACAAATATAACAAATGACAAAGCACAAAACAATAAAGAAATAAAATAAATGAACCAACAAAACCTGCAGCAAGAAACACAGTCAACATACAATATTTACACACGATTACGACGTTTATTATGGTTGAAATATTTAATTAGTCTGTTTGTGCTTTATTATTAATGTGAGCAGAAAAATAAGAAGCGTTTCAATAATTTAAATCTTTTTGTGTGACGTGTTTTTGTTTTGTCGGCAGCAGATTTGTTTTATTTTGGTTTATTTAGTTTTATTTAGTTTAGTTTTATTTTGATTTATTTAGTTTTATTTTGGTTGATTTTGGTTGATTTTGTTTTGTTTTATTTTGTTTTGTGTTATTTAGTTTTATTTTTTTTATTTAGTTTTGGTTTATTTAGTTTTATTTTGGTTGATTTTGTTTTGTTTTATTTTGGTTTATTTTGTTTTGTTTTATTTTGTTTAATTTTGTTTTATTTTGGTTGATTTTGTTTTGGTTTATTTTGGTTTATTTTGTTTAATTTTGTTTTATTTTGGTTGATTTAGTTTTTTTTGCATCTCGTTTTATCTCAGGTTTGAACCTTAAACACAGACAGGAGTTTTAACTTTAATGTTTTATTTATTTCGATTAAACTTCAGGTTTATGTGTCATCATGACCGTTTGATAAAGTGAGATTAGATTAGAATTTGAATTGATTGATTTGGAGGAATAATAATAATAATTCCAGACTAATTAAATATTTCAAACATAATAAACGTCGTAATCGTGTGTAAATATTGTATGTTGACTGTGTTTCTTGCTGCAGGTTTTGTTGGTTCATTTACTTTATTTCTTTATTGTTTTGTGGTTTGTTATTTTTGTTTCTGCAGCTCAGGGTCATAAATCCATAAATCCAGGTGAAGGTGCCCGTAGCCCCGCCCCCTCAGGTGCCCGTAGCCCCGCCCCCTCAGGTGTTCGTTAGTCACTCGGGTTTCACAAAGTGCTGAGTCATGGTTCGGACAGAGTCGCAGAAGATTTTGTGGAATTTACAAAAAAAAAAAAAAAACATTCTTTAATTTACACGAGATTTAGTGAAATATTTTAAAACGGTTCAGAAGAATTCAGACCCGAAACTGAAATCTGAACTTTAAACTCATCCTCTGGTTCAGAACTGGTTTAGTCCTGTTTTAGTCCTTTTTTAGTCCGAGTGGAATTACCCAAAAAAAAAGAAAGAAAAAAAAAGGGGGGATTTTGCCCAAAATGTGAAAAAAAGAAAACCGTAAAATCTCTCTGTGTGATCGATTTATTTCAACAAAGTAA